ATCTTATTTTTTAATTTGTTCATGTGGTGTCTCACATTAATCGATTTGCGTATGTTGAACCATCCCTGTGTCTTTGGGAAGAAGCCTACTTTATCATGATGTATAATCCTTTTAATATATTGGTGTATTTGGTTTGCTAGTATCTTATGTAGGATTTTTGCAGCTGTCTTTATGAGAGATTTTGGTTTGTAGTTTTCTTTTTTGTGTGTTATCTTTACCAGGTTTTGATATCAGGGTAATATTTGCCTCATAAAATGAGTTGGGAAGTATTGCCTCCTCTTCGATTTTTTGTAAGAGTTTGAGGAGAATAGTTATTAAATCTTCTTTGAATGTTTGGTAGAATTCACTGTGAAGCCATCTGGTCCTGGACTTTTACTTTTTGGTAGATTTTTGATGATCGTTTCAATTTCCATACTGCTGATCGGTCTATTTAGATTTTCTGGTTCTTGATTCAGTCTAGGAAGATTGCATTTTTCTAAGTATTGGTCCATTTCTTCTAGGTTATTCAATTTGGTGTTATATTCTTTTTCATAGCATTTTTGTGTAATCTTTTGTCTTTCTGTGGTGTCTGTTATAACTTCCTCTCTTTCATACCTGATTTTATTTATTTGTGTTCTTTCTCCTCTTTCTTTAGTGAGATTAGCCAGGGTTTTGTCAATTTTATTAACCTTTTCAAAGAACCAGCTCTTTGTTGCAGTTATTTTTTCTATTTTCTTGTTTGTTTGTTTTCAATTTTATTTATTTCTGCTCTAGTTTTGATTATTTCTTTCCTTTTGCTGACTTTAGGCTTCATTTGTTCTTCCTTTTCTAGTTTTCTAAGATGAAGCATTAAGTTGTTTATTTGTGCTCATTCTTGTTTTTGGAAATAGGCCTGTAGTGATATGAACTTTCCTCTTATGACCACTTTTGCCGTGTCCCAAAAGTTTTGATATGTTGTACTATTGTTATCATTCTTTTCTATGTATCTCTTGATCTCTCTTTTTTATTTCTTCTCTGATCCAGTTATTCTTCAGTACCATGTTGTCTAATCTCCATATGTTTTTCTCACTTTGTCTTTCCACTTGATCTCTAGTTTCAAAGCATTATGATCAGAGAATATGAGTGGTATGATTTCAACCCTCTTATATTTGTTGAGGCTATCTCTGTGTCCTAGTATGTGTTCGATTCTTGAGAACGTTCCATGTGAACTAGTGAAGAATGTATAAGAAACTGTTTTGGGATGAAAGGCTCTTTAAATGTCAATTATGTACAGTTTGTCTAATGTGTAATTTGAGGATATTTCATTATTGATTTTCTCTTTGAATGATCTGTCCATATCTTACAGTAGGGTTTTTAGGTCCCCTACTAGGATAATGTTTTGGTCTGTTCCTCCATTTAGTTCTGTTAGTAATTTTTTTACATATTTCAGGGCTCTCTGATTGGGATCATAGATATTAATAAGTATTATGCCTTCCTGGTGCATAATTCTTTTTATCTTTATGAAGTGTCCCTCAGTACCTTTTTTATTTTGAAGTCTATTTTGTCTAATATTAGTACTGCTACTCCTGCTTTTCTCTGAATGCCATTTGCTTGAAATATCATTTTATACCCTTTTATTTTGAGTCTATATTTGTCTTTGGAGCTGAGATGTATCTTCTGGAAGTAGCTTATGGTTGGGTTTTGTTTTTTTTGATGCATTCTGCAACTCCGTGTCTATTTATTGATGAGTTCAGTCCATTTACATTTAGGGTAATTATTGAAATATGAGGTCTTTTGCTTTCTGGTAGCTCACTGTTTCCATTGCTTTCTTGTCCTTGTGTTTCTGTTTTCTTTATATTGGTTGGTTTTTGTGGATTTTTACTCTGATCCTTCTTATTTTATGTTATATAACTCAGTTCTGAATCTTCGTTGCATGTTTACCATTATGAATGTGAAAATGATAGTTATATATACACAGTTATCCATTTTCTTTTCTGCACACCTTATGTCCATTCCCCTTTGCAAATTTGGATCTTTGAATCCTACCCTTTTTAGTCATTGTCTCGGTTTGTCCCTATGCATGCTGAATGTTAATTACTATCTTGTTATATCATATCTCTTCTTATTGTTTAAGCTTATAATGCCCTGTTCTTAATAAGGGTTGCAATCCTCTGCTTCTATTTGCCTGATAGTCACCTTACTCCTAATTATGTATTTTTTTTTTTTGGTCATTTTGTGTTAGGTGAGCTGATCTCTTTCAGTATTTCCTGTAATGCATTCTTCGTATGGAAAGGTCATTTTTTATACCTGGAAAAGTCATTATTTCGCTTTCATATCTAAAGGAGAGCTGAGAGCCTTGTGTATCTTCCAGCTCTCCCAGGCAGGGCTGTTCAAGGATGTTGCCGCACCTTCTCCCCTCCCCCTCCTCCTACAGGGAGCTCTGGCTGTGAGAGGCAGTTTATTTGTTTCTTCCAGTTAACCACCTGACACCCAGGGTTCTGACCTGTGGGAGCTCTTATGTGCAGATCCCACGCTAAGACGTGCTGGTGTGCAGTTTGGGCGTTTTGTTGAGTTTTAGATATTCAGCTTATTGTTGTTTTAAGGGGAGAGAGCTTGGGATGTCACTCACTCAGCCATTTTTCTGAGATCACCTCATATGCAAAATTTTATATCAGCTTTACTCAAAAGTGCACACATAGAAGGCTTATCTTTTGTGCCACAAGACAAATCTCCATGCCTGTCCATCAGAATCTTGAGTCTTATTACTTTCCTTTTATCTCATAATATTCTATTATAAGTCTGCTGTTTGGAAATTTCTCCAGTTTCTTGAAGCTGTGTGTGTCCTCTCAGGGCAAAGAAAAAACTACTCTATTTAGAGGAGGTTTGGTTTTATTTGGAGCACCTCCCGCTTTTATGGTTTCTGAGCTTAAATGCTATGGGAATGAACAAATAACAGATGCCTGGTGTTTTTCTCCATAGCCTCAGTAATTTTCAAGAAGAATCACATTTCTCTTGATGTCAGGCTAGCCCCCTGAGTCAATCCCTGTTTTCCTTTCTGTAGCTCTGAAGCCACAGGATCATCTTTCTGCATTGCAATTTCTGGTTTATCTGATGCCACCCTGCCACAGTGACGCCCTGGAGTGTCTGAGGAAGGCCCTGCATAAAATCGCTGAGAACTGTGAGGACTCCATTGGCCTTGATGAGCAGTTGGTAAAAAAGCTCTGGGAAAGATTAGTGAGAACTGTGGTAGGGGATATACGTGGGAGTATATAAGGGAAACAGAGCCAGAGAGACAGAGAGAAAGGGAAACAAGAAAAACGACAACAATAAAAAAGTTTCATTAGTATAACTTCAATTATTACCTCAGAATCAACCACTTTCTGCTTTCCTTTGCCTAGGTTTCAGGCAACCGTATGACTTCCACTAATTTGGCCTTGGTGTTTGGATCTGCTCTCCTGAAGAAGGGGAAATTTACCAAGAAGGAGTCCAGGGAAACAAGACTGGGAATTGACCACTACATTGCTTCTGTCAATGTGGTCTGAGCCGAGATTGATAACTGGGATATCTTCTTCCAGGTAGGTGGAAGTTTTGGAAACATTTATTTCACAGCTCTCTCTCTCTGTTCACAAGGCAAGGAAACATTGTACGTGCATACCTGAGGGTAGCCAAAGGCACCTCGAAATCTCCCAGTCCAGAAATTCTTCCCACATTAGTTGGTCATGGTGTCTTCAGTTCTGGGTACCTGATAGAGTTAAGTATATATATAAAAAAAGTTGTCCACTAAAGGCTAACATTACTAATTTACCCTCAGATGCCTCCCCATATTCAGAGGCAGATTGCTAAGCATGCGTGGAAATCCAGTCCCAAGGTCCAGATGCAGGAATTTGAAGAAGATCCAGTGAGTATTTTCTTGGCTTGTTTATGCTTAGTTTGAAGAAAAATCTTTTAGGGGAGCTTCCAACCACAGGACATCTTTATATTAGTCAACTTAAGCATACGAACTGACTTTTTCAAATTCATTCTCATTTAGGAGTGCACGAATAAAGATGGGAGAGGATGCTTTACTTTCTGATCCAGTGGAAAACTCTGCTGAAGTCTGGGCTGCTGTTCTTGCTCAAAGCAAGGCATTTGATGAAGATCATTTCCTTCCTGAAGGTCAGACCCTTGCAGAAGATCAGGCCCTTGCTGAAGATCAAGTCTTTGCTGAAGGTCAGGCCCTTCCTAAAGGTCAAGTTCTTGCTGAAGATGAGCTCCTTGAGGAAGATGAGTCCTCTGAGGAAGATGTGACAATCAATGAAAAGTTAGTATTTGAATGTCTCAGTCAAGGAGTAGACTTTGCAGAAGTCGAAGGTCTTGAGATCTTCAATGACTTTGAGATTCAAAATCCACATCTTGAAAACATACCAGAGCTTAATGAAGAAGATGATGATGATGACGATGATGATGATACTCTGAATTTTGATGACCTTCCTCCACTTGAGAATATTCTAGACCCTGATGATGAAATTCCAGAACTCATTGAAATCCCAGACTTTGAAGAAATACCAGCCCCAGATGAGTAAGAAATTCCAAACTCTGGAGAAAATGCAAACTATGATCTTGAAGAAGGACCAGATTTTGAAGACTATGAAAATCTTGATTTTGCAGAAGTTCCCTATCTTGACGTAATCCTGAACAATGAAGTCATCTCAGACACTGATGAAACTCCAGACAATGAAGAAGGCTCAGACATGAATGAAATCCCAGACCATGCAGATGCCTTAGATAATGATGAAAACTTAGATTCTGAAGAAGACCCCAATCTTTAAGAGGTTCCAGCTCTTGATGAAATCCCAAATGATGAAGCCTCAAATGCTGAAGAAATTCCAGACTATGAAGATGCCCCAGAGGTCCATGGGATTTCAGACTCTGACAAAGACCTTGATTTTGAAGAAGTCCCAGCTCTTCATGTGGTCCCAAGCCCTGAAGAAGCCTCTGGTGGTCATGTCCCAAATTATGAAGAATCCCCAGAGGTTATTGGATTCTCAGACTCTGAAGAAGATTTCAGTCTTGAAGAGGTTCCAGCTCTTGATGGAGTTCCAAATGATGAAGAAATCTCAGGTACTGAAGAAATTCTAGATCATGAAGAAACTCTAGAGGTCAATGGAATTTCAGGTTCTGAAGAAGACTACAACCCTAAAGAGGTCCCAGCTCTCTATGTGGTAATGAGCCCTGAAGATGTCTCTGATTTTGACGAAACTCAAGACCAGGAAGAATCCTCAGATGTGAGTGGAGTCCAAAACAATGAAGAAGGCTCAGATGCTGAGGAAATCTCAGGACATGAAGAAGCCTCTGATGTCAGTGGAATCCAAGATTTTGAAGAAAACTTCAATCTTGAAAAAAACTCACTTCTCAATATGGTTCCAGAGCCCCAGAATGCTCATATTCACAACAAAATTCCAGATTCTCAGAAAGACTGAGCCAACATTTTTGAAGAAGATGAAGTTACCAGTGTGACTCCAGAGCCTGAAGATGTCTCCATTTCCAGTAGAATTCCAGACCTTCAGCCAGATCTGGCTGTCAACCTTGAAGAAATTATGAATGTGCAAGCAGTACCAATGCCTAATTATTTTTTCTCTAAAGAAGTTCAGAATCCAAAGGCAATACAGTTCCATAAAGACAATGCAGATGTTACATTTCCTATAGATACCACCCTTTTTAAAAACAAGTCTCAGCCTGGTCAATTCAAAAACTACAAGTCCTCCTCAGAGTCATTGAAGACCGACACCTGCTTTCTTCCTGCCATGAAGTGCTGTAAGCTTCCGGCTCCAGCTTTGTTACTATTTTTTTTTTTTTAAGTAAAATTAGGCTGCTTGCAGGATGGTGGAGATTGTTAGGAGGCCACATTCTTCCTGGCCTCCCTGGATGTATTGTCCATTTGCTCTAAGGATGGGGTATCTTCCTTACTCTTTCTGTTCTCTAACCAAGCCATCCACCCTAACCCCACCCCAGTTTCTACAGTGGGCCTAGATTTAGAGATCTATATTCTACTGTTAGGTTGCAATTTTTAGGGGATAATCATCCTTGCTCTAACTTCTTGCTTCATATTATATTTGAAGCTCAGAATTAGGTATTAGTCCTTCGAGTTTTGTGCAAAGTATGAAGTGTAGAAACATGAGTTAACATTGTTACTATTTTCCAGATTCCTCTGAGGAGCCAGCTGTGCCTTCAGGCACTACCCATTTCCATGACGATGAGGAAGGAGTGGGTAACCGCCCCCCCCCGCGCATTCTGGAGCAAGAACACCCATTGCTTCGTGTGCCCCGGGAAAAGGAGGCCAAAACTGGCATAGGCTACTTCTTTCCTTAGACGTTGTTCTTTCTATAAGGTGCCAGACAAGGGAAAAGGGTGGGGATGACCTGGCATGTCACAGGAAACATTAAGAAGTGTGTACTGAAGGTAAAGATCTGAGGGATGAGAAGGAGGTCCACCTGATGCTCAGGTCAAGTTGAGAATTCCAAACACACTGCTAACCCTTTCACTGGGGATACTCGTTCCCTTCAGCAGAGATGTTTCTGTGTCATTCCCGGGTTCCCTGGTGCTATTTTGCCTTTCTCTTTTACCCCTGACCCTGGTTTTCCCACACTATAGCCCTTCCTTTAATTGATGTGAAATTTGTGGTAAACACCTTCCCCAGAGAAGCTTGCAAATCTCGAAGTGCTTTCCTCCCCCAAAGGGGATTGCATACTTTTCCTGACTTTCATTCCCTCCTCCTGAGAGCTCAACTGGAAAGGCCCTCAAGAGGCATGCTAGGATGTTAGGTCAGCCTACTGATAGCTGACAAATAATTAATGCTAAACCATGTCACACCAACTCATAGCCGTGTCCCCGCAGCAACTCCACCACCTCAGGACATTTTCCCCCAAATCCTTTAGACCAATGGCTCATCAAGCAGCCACTCCCAAAATTCTGTGTAGTTTTGCTTAGGCAACGGCAACATGACATTGTCAAGTGTAAGTCTGATAAGCTTTTCTTTGATTAAAAGTTAGAGGAATTGTTTTTTTTTTTTAACTTTATACTCGAGATTTGTTTTAGAGACAGCTGACATTCACACCCTGTTGTCAGAAAAACAGCTTGTTAAATAGGGACACATAGTTCCAAGTAGTTAAAATCACCTGATTACAATCTTATCTATTGTCTCTGTGTCTCTGTAGTTCCTCTATTCAGGACTGTACAAATTTGCTGGACATGCTCTGATAACACAAATATGGGTTATGTATGACATCCAAAATTATAGCTAGTATTGAGAGGTAACAACTGCTAAGGTCCATAAAATGAAGAGCATACCATATTGAGGGATAGAAATCAATCACATAATGAGTAAAAACTGCAGAGCTTGAAGATTTGTGATTGTTAAAACTTCTCTGGCATTTAATAATTAATAAACATCAATTGTGACAGCAGCATATTCATGACTTATTGTGTATTTTTTTTTAATTTGAAATTTTGTTGGTGAGTTGGGAAGCTCTGGAGCTGAAGAGGTAAAAGGGGTGGGGAAGAGGAATAAAGAAGAGGGTGATGTGGAATAAGGGGGAGGGGTGACATAATATAAAGGAATGAAGTGAGTGAAATAAAGAGGAGGGGGTGATGTGGAATAAATGAGAAGAGATGATGTGGAATAAGAGGCTGGAGAGAAGTGGAATAAAGGGGGTGATGCGGAATAAAAGGGAAGGGGGGACATGGAATTAGGAGGTGGAGAGAAGTGGAATAAGGAGGGTGAATTGAAATAAGAAGAGCATGATGTGGAATTAAGAGAAGGTGTTGAGGTGGAAAAAAGGAGAGAAGGTGATTTGGAATAAAAGGGAGGGATTGACATGGAATAAAGAAGAGGGCATGATTGGGAATTAAGGGGAGAGGGTGATGTAGAATGGAAAGGGGTGATGTGGAATAAAGGGGAATAAGGTGGATGGAAGAAAGAAGAATAGATGTAACTGAATAAAGAGAATGGAAGGGTTAAAGTAGAATACATGGTTAAGGAGGGACAAAAAAGAGGTAGGGGAAAAGAATAAAGGTTAAGAAGGTCTCTAAAGGGGAAGGAGGGGAAATAAAAAGAGAGATTATTAGGTATCCTAAACTGAGTAATTCCCCCTGGATTGGTGAAAAATAAAAATCTAGAAACATATGGAGACATAATTTCCAAGGCTAAAAGAATGGGCTGCTGTTTCATTGGTGGGAACGCCAACCTTTCTTAAAAGCTTGAAACTTCATGACATCATGACATGAAATTTCCCATGGTAGTGACAGGGCTCTAGAAAGTAGAATGGTGGGTATTATTTATTTTTACATGTTTTATATTATTTTCTTATGCAGAGCTTTAGACAGCAAAAATGCAATATTTGGCCTCTCCTATAATAATAATAATTATAATGGTAGTTAACACACATTGAGTTTTTCTAGTTTTTCTAAAAGTGTCTGACATTGTTGAAAGATATACATGTATCATTTTATTTAATATTCACAGCTCTATGAGATACATACTACTGTCATCATCACTTTCTTATTGAGGAAAATGAGATACAGAAAGGTCAAGTAACCTGCCTAAATTTCACATCTGATTAGTGGAAAGTAGCTAGTCTCCAAAGCTGGAGTGTTTAACCACTTGATTATACTGGCCCACCCATTTTAGGATTCTTTCACTGACACAAAGATGCATTGTGATGTCTACAGTCAGTATTTTTTGGGTAGGATTTGCACTTTTAATAAGCAAACTTCAGGTTCTTTCCTAATATGTACTTTTTCTCCAGGTAGACAAGCTGTTATAAAATAAGTATGATATCTCAGGCAGACACTAAGAGTTGTATCTAGAGCCCCTAGATATTAAAACCAGTGAAAAACGTCGAGCTTATCCATTCCAACTCTCTCGATTTATGGTCACACTTTGGCTCATGATGGCTTACCAGAGGTCAAAGACCTGGATTAAGACTCAGGCAGGCCTTCAGACTGCCATTCCAGGACTATATGAAGCTAAAATGGTAAAATGTGTCCCTGGAAGAGTTTACTTGTGCTTTTTCCACTCAGCCGAAAAATCAACAAATAAACCTGATAACAAACAAAAAAGTAGATTATTTCAAAACATTCCCTTCACTAGCTGGCCTTCCCTAAAACCAGGTTTTCTCCTGATCCTATTGTCCTCCTTGTATTCATCCCCAGTGCTGACTACTAACCAAGAGTTTGGGACTGAGAGTGGTGATTAGATGTGGGCATTTCTCTCTCTCTTCCCAATATTTAAGGATCATATCAACAGGCTTGAGACTCCAAGTCCTGTCCTCATCCTAGATGACCTCAACAATACACATGTGAAGGACCCATCCCACACACCCTGGACTCATCTTCCTGCCTTTTAAATTCTTAGCTCTTCAACCAGCTCCAGTCACTTGGCATCACTGAGCATGAATTTATTTCTAAAAGACTCAACTCCAATAGCCCATTGTCAGTCAAACTCAACAGTGGCTGGGTCCTACATCATTTGCTATTTGGCTTCAATGAGGTGTTCACTGCCTCCAAGACTTTTATAATGGGAAGTTTTAACCTCTTATTCCCCTTCACATTTTACCCATTCTCATCACCATCCTCTCTGGCAACCATAGCCTTGTTCTTTATATCTACGAGATCCTTTTTGTCTTCACTTCTTTCCTTAGCTAGCCAGGATATCAGGGCAAATTGAGTTAGAACTGACTACAACAGTTCTAAACAAATATATATATTTGTGACAACTTGTTCTAAACAAATATATATATTTGTGACAACTTGTCTTCACTTCTTTCCTTAGCTAGCCAGGATATCAGGGCAAATTGAGTTAGAACTGACTACAACAGTTCTAAACAAATATATATATATATTTGTGACAACATGGATGGACTTTGAGGGTGTTATGCTAAATGAAATAAGTCAAACACAGAAAGACAAATATATGATTTTACTTTATGTGGAATCTTAAAAAATCAAATGAACAAACAAAACAAAACAAAAAGAGATTCATAGATATAAAGAACAAGGTGATGGTTGCCAGAGAGGAGGGTGATGAGAATGGGTGAAAGGTGAAGGAGAATAAGAGGTTAAAACTTCCCATTATAAAATAATTAGATATGGTGATGTAGTCTACAACACAGGAAATATAGTCAATGCTATTGTAATAACTTTTCACAGTGACAGATGATTACAAAATTTATTGTGGTGATCACATCATAAAGTTTATAAATGTCAAATCACTGTTGTACATCTGAAACTAATATAATATTGCATGCCAACTATACTTTCATAAATTATCAAAAAATCATATGATCATCTCAACAGATGCATAAAAAGAATTTAATAAACTTCGACATTTTTTCAACATAAAAACCCTCAACAAATTAGATATAGAAAGAACATGCTTCAATATAATAAAGACCACATATGACAAACCTATAGCTAACATTATACTGAATAGTGAAAACTTTTCCCGTAAGATCAGGAATAATACTAGGGTGTCTACTCTCACCACTCTTTTTCTAAAATAAATTTTTCATTTTAAAATTATAGTTGGCATATAATATTATATTAGTTTAAAGTGTGCAATATAGTTATTAGACATTTATATAACTTACAGAGTGATCATTATGATAAATTTAGTACCCATCTGACACCATGTGTAGTTACTACAATATTATTGACTATATTCCTTGTGCTATACTTTAGATCCCCATGACTATTTTATAACTATCAATTTGTACTTCTTAATTTCTTTCCACTTTTTTCACCACCTTCTCAACACCCCTCTCATCTGGCACCCCTCCAAATGTTCTCTGTATCTATGAGTTTGTTTCTGTTTTGTTTATTTTTTTCATTAGATTCCACATGTAAGTGAAATCATATGGCATTTGTCTTTCTCTGTCTGACATTCTCCACTCAGCACAATACACTCCAGGTCCATCCATGTTACTGCAGATGGCAAGATTTCATTCTTTTTAAAATTTTTGTATGGCTGAGTAATATTCCATTATATCTCTATCATCTATCCATCTATCTATACTCTCTCTCTCTCTCATCTATCTATCTATCTATCATCTATCATCTCACCTCTTTTTTATCCATTCATCCATTGATGGACACTCAGGTTGCCTCTATATCTTGGCTATCGTAAATAATGCTGCAATGAACATATGGATGTATAGTTTCCTTCGAAGTAGTGTTTTGGGTTTTTTTGGATAAATACCCAAAAGTGGAAATACTGGGCCTTCTTTGTCTCTTGTTATAAACTTTCTTTAAAAAAAGTCTATTTGTCTGGTATAAATATTGCTACCACAGATTTTTTTTTTAATTTTTATTTT